ATGAAACACCCCCTCCCCTTATTTTTTTAATATATATTTTGGACACAATATCTTTATTTTTTATGTGGTGCTGAGGATCAAACCCAGTGCCTCTCACATGCGAGGCAGGTGCCCTACCAATGAGCTACAGCCCCAGCTGCACCTTATTTTTTTGCAAAGCTACCTGAGCTCCAGGAGTTTCCAGTAAAGCAGGTATTAGAGAAACCTTAAAGGGTCTGTTCTTCTAGAAAAGACACATGACTGAAGTGGTCATTAATCTAGGCAGAAGAGGCAAGGCCTTTGGAGTATAGTTATTATTCATATTTATTTATTGTTTTTAAGGATTTATTGTTTAAGATTTATTGTTTTTAAGGATTTATATTCAAACTTGTACTAATTAAGAATACAATTACACAAATGGAGTACTCAAGATATCCTTAACCATTATGCAGTTATAAATGTTTTATTAATTTTTATTTTAATTAGTTATACATGACATTGGAATTCATTTATGCACTTTGATATATCATACATAGATGGATATAATTTCTCATTTTTCTGAGTGTACATGTTGCAGAATCATATTGATCAGGCAGTCACATATAAAGTAATAATGTCTGTTTCATTCTACTATCTTTCCTATCCCCACATCCCCTCCCCTGCCCTCTCTTAAATTTTTGATAGTAGAAATTCATATCATTTTATGTAACTTTGTCAAATGTCTTATTTGATTGGATATAATGTAAGTAATCAGTTACAATATGCTGAATTTTAAAGACTAGCAGACCTTCATTCCTATCACCACTCTCATTTATTAACCAATTAACCTTGAACAACCTTAGCTTACTGGTTCTCAGATAATCCCCCTATCTGTGTAATAATAATAATAATACTTCAGATTTTAGAGAGAGTACACAGTAACTGTCTAATATAATTCTGGCATGTGAAAGATTGTTTAAAATATTAGCAATCCATTTTTATTAAGTTTACTGGGATGTCTCTTGCCACTGAGTAACATGGCTATACCTCCTCATTCATCTCTTCATCACCTAGAAAGTAAGGTCTCCATGATTCTAGATTCTTCATTTTTTGAGCAACTCTTGTAAGATTTGAAAAACATTTTAAAAAGACACTATTCTTTAGTTGAGAAAGTTTCAGAACTCCTGAGAGAATGTGTTTCATAACTTTCCATTCTTCGTGAGAATTATTAAAAATAATGACAAGTTGAAGATAAGCAAAATAGCCATCAGAGAAAAGTAATAATTATTACTCTTGACAAATTAGAATTCTTGCCAATAAGGATCTATATTAAAGGCCAAATTTTTCAAACATGGATCTGAGGAACTGTATGATTCCTGGTATATGTTTTAGTGTGCTAGGAAGAATTCTAAAATATTTTTGTCTTGTATAAACGTTGGCACTGTAGATATAATGGGATGCCACTCCTAATTATTTAGGTCATGCTATATGGTATGATGTTGGAATAATTTTCAGTTTACAGCTAGCAACAAGCAGCTAGCAGCTATGAGCAGCTCAGAGTGCTTGAAGAATCTACACTCGTTCAGGCCTGATAAGAACACCTGCAGGATGGGATGCTGTGCTCTAGCAAGCTGTTATTGAAACCACATTCTGAGCACTTGTGGTTAGCGTGGCCAAGCTGCCAGGCCAGGAAACTGATAGGCAGGAGAGCTTCATACATGGAACTCCTAACTTAGAAACCCTCTCCCCTAGGGACAAAGGCCCTTCCTAACGATAGCAATATTTAGAGCATCTTCATTGTATGGTTACATTAGGCATAAGATGATAGGCTTATGGATACTGTCTTGCTTGTGTATGATTGATGGGCATGCCCCACTCGAACCCTATAACAATTGTATGCATTCCAAAAATAAACTGATTTACTCAATGATGACCTGAGGTGGGTCTCCTGCCAGTTGTCTCTCCAGCTCCCGGAGTCTGTGTGTTGATTCCGCATCTCTACCCCACCACGACAAGGTAACAGAGCAACTAATTGACCAGAACCACAGCAGTATGGTTAATTTTTAAGAAAGGGAAATTGTCTAGGTAGGTCAGAACTAATCATTTGAGCCTTTATGTCTAATTGCTGGAAATCAAAGTGAAAAAGACACAGAGAAGTAAGAGACCCAGTCTTGCTGTCTCAGGAAAAAAAACAAAACAAAACAGTAAACTGCCTATGGTGTCTACATGGCAAGGGACAGTAGTCACCTGCTAGATGTTGAGTTGCCTTTGGCTGGCAAAAAGAAAGACAATAGGCACATTAGACCTGTAGTTGTCCATTTTTTCCCAATGAGACAAATGAGCTTAGAAGTGGATTCTCTCCCAAAACATCAAGAAAAGAACACAGTCTTACTGGTACCCATATTTTAGTTCTGTAAAAACTGAACAGAAAGCATAGATATATTGCATTTGGTATTCTGGGAATTATGAACTAACAAATGGCTGTTATTTTAAGTCACTGAATTGGTGGTGATTCTGTATGTATCAATTGATAATGAATATATCTAGGAACATGTGTATGGGCAGGAATGGCTGAGATACCAGTGTTCTGGACACTATTATATATTTTATTCCTATTTCCTTTCTAGTCTTTTGATTATTTTCTTCAATTTATTTTGGGTTAATTAGATTGTTCTTTCTCTAATATATTTGGTAGGGCGTTTAATTGCTGGATACTTCAGACTCTCACAAATCCATGCCCATGTTGTGCAATATAATTTATTAAATTATTATATTGTTTTATCACTAATATATATTGCATTTATTTTTCAAGCAGGCTTCCTCAGGAATTATGCAGAAACAGCCAAAAGCCCCTGGTTTTCTCTTATTCCTGAACAATTGGCAGAACTTTTGTTGGAAAAAGAAAGGATGTTTTAGAGAATACTGAAAATAACAGGGTTAAAAGGAAAGATTCCTAGATGTTAGAAACACCACAAAGCTCTATTCTGCTGGAACTCAAATCTTGGTTTAGAGCCCTAAAAGCACCCTATGTCTATGACAAGTTAAAATGAATTATGATGGTTTGGAACTCTTACATTTGTTCCTATGATTCAAACATGGTAGCAATCAAATGTGAAGTAGGGATTTATAGGTTCATGAAAACTGAATTAATAGAGTCTTGGAAAAACCAAAGCAAATGGTTACACATGAACCAAGGAGCCCACCTTCTGTCTTGGTGCTACATGAGATCCAAAGGCAGGGAAGAGACAAGCTAAAATTAACTCTAACATTTGCCAATTACTGGTGATATAGGAATTTTGATTTGGAAGATGATTGGAAGACAATAATATGCATTTCTTACTGATTTGCATATTTTAACTTTAATTCATAGCTATTATAACATATTGGGATTCAATGTAAATTTTCATTTGAATAGAACAAGGCCAGAAATGGCCTATCATCATATTTTTAAAATATGGTTTTATTGGGATACACCCATTTCCATTAGTTAATATACTTGTCTATGGCTGCTTCCCTGCTATAATGAGACAGCTGTTTCCAAAAGAGATCACATGACCAGCAAACCTGGAAATATTCAATGGCCGCTCTTTACAGAAGTTTTCTGACTTATGGAGTATAGGATTCTGTGCTAAAATTTATTTTAGAACTACTTAAGGAAAGAATCTTGACTATTAAAAACATGTAAAAAGGAATTATGCCTATGATTTTGGATGAATGCCAGATAAAACAAGATCTCTAAGTGTCAGTTACTGGAAGGATTTGAAGACAAATCAACTTCAGTTTTATTTTACTTTTATCTATGACCATCATATCCTTCATATATTATCTTGTTTGCACTTATCCTCAAACTCCTGATCTGGGAGGTATAAAAATAAAGCAGATGAATACTTCTGTGATACAGGGTGGATTTTTATTGCTAGAAGGGAAGGAGACCTCCACAGACACTTTTTTTTGTCATGACAGCAATTTTAAAAGGACTGCTTACAAATGAGTCATTCCTTGTCAAACTTGAAGAAATTTGCTTAAAACTATAATTTGGAAATAAATACATATTTTCATTCTAAAATTATAATTTCACAAAAGACTGCTTAACATTTTACTTGTCATGCATGAATAGGGAATCAGTCACAACAAGAATTAATTTGAGCAAAATTTTAACCTTAAAAAGTTTCTTGCAAAACTTTGTTTTCTCATTTATGCAAGTCATTACTTAAATAATGTAAAAATTCTGGGTTTACAGGCCATTGTAGGTACATATTCTTCCTCTTTTGGGAAAAAGAAGAAAATATTTTGTAAGCTAGCCCTGCTCCTCTGGACTGATAATACTTGGAGATAGTTAATATTTTACCCTTTTGTAGATGAAATATGTAAAAATTATTTTCCATTTATTTAAAATGTAGGTTTTCTAATTTACTGTTCACTTCTAGGTATCTATATTCCCCTATTAGAAATATGGGTGCTATATCAAGTTCCACTGATAACTGTATAATTTTATCATGAACTATAAAAACCATATGAAAAGTTACAAAGAAAAATTAAGAAATTCACATATATATTTGTTTATATTATACATTGCTAATATCTCAAGTCATTGTGTTTTGGATTGTCACACGGGTTTTCTCAGTAGTCATGTTATCTACAATTAAGAGTAGTTATTTTATACCTTTCTAATCTATATACTTTTTTTCCTCTTACTCCAATGACTACTCCCAGTAGAATCTTTTAGAGAAGTAATGAGAGTAAGCATCCTCACCTCATTTCTTATTTTTAAGGAATGTAGCTAGTTATGTTATTAATGGGTCACCATGTAATTTATCACCCAAATCTGTACCTTTATGAAAGTTTATATGTATTCATTTTCTATTATTTCTGTAACACATAGTGACTTCAAAAAAGACAAAAATATTCATTGTCTTGCAGTTATAGATATTAGAAGTCTGAAATTGGTCTTACTAGACTAAAATTAAAGTGTAAACAGGACTATTTTCCTTTTAAAGGCTCTTGGGGAGAATAAATTTCTTTATTTTTTTTTCCAGATGCTAAAGAACATCCTGAACTGTGGCTTCTGTCCTCCATCTTCAAGGACTTCAACACTGCAGCTCTCTGACTATTCTTGAATACTTACAATCCCTTCTCATTCTCGTTTGCTGCCTCCCTCTTCTAATTTTAAGGACTCTGATTATATTGGCCTACCTGATAATCCTGGACTATCTATCTATTTGAAGGTCAGCTGATTAATCATCTTAATCTCATCTGCAACCTTAATTTTCCTTTTCCATGCAACCTAACATCATTGCTGGTTCTGGGAATTAGAAAGTAGGTATTTTTGGTGCCACTATTCTCCTTACAACATGGAACTACTAATAATAATATTGTGACAACAGAAATTAATGAATTTTTCTTTGCAAACCAGTTCCATGTGATCACCCTAATTAAGTACAGTACCTACTATATGTTTTTTATATGGACCTTATCAATTTAAGAAAACACTCTTCTAAACCATTGTTTAAAATTTGTTCCTTTTAGTTATACATGATGATAAAATGTATATCAGTGTTTTTTTAACGTTGAAATCACCATTGTATTATTATTTGCAAAAATCTAATCTAGAAAAGGTTTCTGTGTGTGTGTGTGTGTGTGTGTGTGTTTATTAAACTGTCAATTTAGTTTACCTATATTTTAGAGCTATTTTACTCTATTCGTATGTATGTTCAGCATTTAATTTTTATAAGGGCAAGTTTAATTTAATTCATATTTTCTATTTTACTTTGATCCAGTTTGGAAAAGTCATACTTTTCTTAAAAAAATGTCCATTTCATTCAACTTTACAAATATTTTGGCTTAAAATTATTTAAAATAATATTTTTTTCAAACATCTGTTGTTTAAATTTTGTTACCTATTTTTAATTCACAATATTGTTTTCTAAATTCTCTTTCCTATCACTCTTGACACCATTTTATGTATTTGTATATGGGCATTCTTTAATTATAGAGTATAAATTTTCATCTATATCCATTAGCTCATTCTGTTATTCAAAGCACTCCTGAATTTCCCTTGTTTATCAATTTATTTTCTCTGTCAATTTTTTATTGTTACACATTGAGATATTTCTATTTTTTAAACCACTGATTCAGTTTTTCATTTGATCCTCTTATGCCCAAATGTAGTATCTATGTCATAATCTTTGCTTAGGATAATCAAGAAGATTGTTCCAGGATCCTTAGTCCCTCATATTCATTGAAGATTTTACTATCAATTTCACACTCTTCCTATCTACTCCAATTCCCACCATAATCCTTAGTGTCTATTCTTGTGGGTGAGTAGAGTTGTAAAATAGAATTGCTGATATTTGATTTCTGCCTCTGCAATCATCATCTTATATCCTTCTCTCTTTTACATGGTCACACTATAGATTTAATTAGTCAGATCTTTCCTGGGTCTGGAATTTTTATATCAAATATTACATTATCTTAAAATTTTACTTATGATTTTTATTTGATTTCACAGAGATCACAGTCAACGACCAGTCATTCTGGACAACCAGCCCAATCAAGGCTCTAATTTTCTGCAGGTTTGGCTAACATCAGTTTGCAAGTACAGGTAGGATACCCAGCATGAATTGTCTAGTTGCTTACTAACACACAAAATCCATGAAAAGAATAACTTGATTGCTTCTTATGCCACAAGATTTTTCTGGCTTGTTTGGCATTGGCATACAAAATTATATTCATAATATCTAGTATAGTTACATATATGTGTGCATATATGTGTTTGTGTGTGCATTTTCTAGTACATATTGAAGGAAAAGAGGAAGGAAGGAAATAGTACAGATTAGAAAAAATAGAAGTAAAGTGGAAAATATAAATAATATAGAAAATCAGCAAAACCACCAGACAAATCTTAAATAAAGATGAACAAAGTTTACAAATTTTTTATATACTTTGCAAAAAAAATGAGAAAGAGGGGACTCAAATAATTAAAATTATAAATAAAAGAGAACATCACTTCTGATATTTTATAAACAAAAGGGAACATCCTTTTTTATTTATAGAAATAAAAATAGATTATAAGGGAATATTAGGAGCAATGGTATGACAACAAATTATCTAACTTAAATGAAATGAAAATAATTCTAAATAGATACAAAGCTTAAATGAAACCAAATAGATAATCAGAAGAGACTTATAACAAATAAAGAGTTTGGATTAATAATTTAAATACTTCCCACAGACGAAAGCACAGGACCACATTATTTTCCTGGTGAATTCTTTTAAACTGTTAAACAGGAATGAATATTAATCCTTCACAAACTTTCAAAATTTAGAAAAAAGAGAGAGCTTATTTTACCACATTCTTTGAAGCTAGTATTACCCAGACTAGTAAAAATATAAGTCATAAGAAATGAAAACTGTACACTAGTATAGCTTATGAATATAGACCCACAAATTCTAAAGAAAATACCAACAACTTGAATCCAGAAAGATAGAGAAAAATAAATCATAAATCATTATCCAATGGGATTTATCCTAGAATTTGAGGTTAGTTTTATATCCCTAAACTAATCCATAGTTCTAAATTAAGAATAAAAATCCTATAGATTATGTAAATACATACAAAAAATCATTTGACAAATTCAAACACTAAGAAACTAGGACTAGAAAGTAATATTCTCAGTCTAAAAAAGGGCATTTATAAAATACCATTGTTAATGTCAGAACTAATGTTGATACTGAATGTTCTCCCCCTAAGATCAGGAACAAGATAAGGATGTCTGCTCTTAACACTCCTAATCAACATTGTACTGGAGGATATAGCTAGGGTAAGTGCATAAGAAAAATAAATATAAGGGCTTGGATTGTGGCTTAGTGGTAGAGCGCTTACCTAGCATATGTGAGATGCTGGGCTTGATCTTCAGCACCACATAAAAATAAATAAATAAAATAAAGGTACTGTGCCCATCTACAAAAAAGAAAAGGAAATAAAAGGCATGAAAAAATATTGGAAGAAATAAAATTATATTTGCACATAACATGATCTATATAGAAGATCATAAGACATACACTGTAATCCTATTACACTGATAAACATTAAACATAAACAACAAAACTACACACTTACAATGAATAATTTGAAATGAAATAAGGAAAATACATCTACAATATCACCTAAAAGAGTAAAATACTTGTAAATAAATATATCTAAAGAGTATACATCCTGCTTACAGAAAACCACCAAGTATAATTAGAAGAATTCAATCCCAGTGGCTCAGGAGGTTGAGACACAAGGATCATGAGTTCAAAGCCAGCCTCAGAAACTTATTGAGACCCTAAGCAACTTAGCAAGCCCCTGTTTCAAAATAAAAAAATAAAAAGGGCTGGAGATGTGGCTCAGTTGTTAAGTGCCCCTGGGTTCAATTCTTAGTACCAAAATAAACACTAATTAATTAACAAGAGAACTTAAAGATCTAATTAAAAGGAAAACACCTATGTTTATGGAATGGAAGACTTAATATTAAGATGGTAACACTCAACAAATTGTACTACAGATTCAATGTTCTAACAATCAACATTGAAGTTGTATTTTCTGTGCATAAATTTTAAAGCAATTATAAAATCTGTATTGAAATGCAGCATATTAGTTTTCTATTTTTTATGACACTTTACCACATAGTTGCTTACTACAGCACAAATTACAAATAGCAATCTCCTTCTGGAGATTTTAAAGGGAATCCATTTCCTTTCTTTTTCTAGATTGTAAAAGCTGCATACATTTTTCAACATATTACTTCTGTTTTTGTTGTTACATGTCCTCCTTTGACTCTGATTGTACTGTTTCCTTCTTATAAGTCCTCTTGTGATTACAGTAGGTTCATTCAAACAACACTGGATAATCTCTTTGTTTAAAGGTACTTAACTTTCACCAACTGCAAAAGCTGCAAATTTCCTTTAGCTATTTAAGGAAACATATTCATAGAGTCTGAGGATTAGAATGTCTATGGAAGGCTAATATTCACATCAGAGACCTAGGATAGTTCATAAATATTGAAAAAGAACAACTGTGGAAGACACAATTCCTGATTTCAAAACTCATGACAAAGTTCTAGTAATCAAGACTATGCTGCTGTCATAAAAACTCACATATTGATCCATGGTATATAATTGAGAGTCTAAAAACAAATCCTTAATTTTAGAGTTAATTGATTTTTTTTGTTAACAATGCCAAGACAAATAAATGAGAGGAAAGTAATATTTTCATAAAATGGTTCTTAGACAACTGAACCTGCAAGAGAATACCAATGGAATTTCTTATCTCATACCATATAAAATTTGACTCCAAGGACATGAACTTCCTAATTATGAGAGCTGAGAATGTAAAATTCTCAGTAAAAAACATGGAAGTAAGCTTTTGTCATATTGAGTTAATCATGTAATAACTATATCAAAATCAGAATTGACAAAGAAAAAATAGGCAAGTTGGATTTCCAATATATATATATATTTTATCATCTAAAGAGTATCCCAAGAAAACCCACAGATTGAAAGAAAAATTTTGCAAATCATATATGGGAAAAAGTATTTGTATCCAAAGTATGTAAAGAATGACCACTCAATAACCAAGACAATTTAAAAACAGGTAGAATGGGCTGGTGGTGTGGCTAAAGTGGTAGCATGCTCACCTGGCATGCATGCGGCCCAGGTTCGATCCTCAGCACCACATACAAACAAAGATGTTGTGTCCGCCAAAAAATAAAAATAAATATTAAAAAATTCTCTCTCTCTCTCTCTCTCTCTCTCTCTCTCTCTTAAAAAAACAGGTAGAATAATTAAATAGATATTTTTTTCAAAGAAGATTAAATAAATGCCCAACAAGTGCATGAAAAGATGATCATCATACTTAGCCATCAAGGAAATGCAAATCAAGATTTCAATGAAATTCAATATCACATCATTAGGATGCCTATAATGAAAAAATGTAAAATAACAAATGTTGTATAGGATGTTGGGAAATCAGAAACTTTGAAATTAATCATTCTAAGTGATAGAATCCAGACCACAAATGGCCATATATTTAATGATTCCATGTGTATGAATGCTATGAATAGAAAATTTTTGTAGAATACAATAGAAGGTGACTGATTTTTTAGAGTTAGAAGTTTGTGGGGAGAGAGTGATTGCTAAGTGGTGTGGGATTTCTTTTTGTAGTGATGAAAATTTTCTAAAGTTGCTTGTAGTAATGGTTGCATAACTTTGTAATATACTAAAACGTAGAAATCACTCAATCTAAATGTGAGTTTTATATTACTAATTTGTATCTCAATAAATATGAAATGTATTGATATATAAGCTTTTATATCCTTAGTACAATTTAAAAAATCATTAAATGAAGAAAAAAAGATCCATAGAATATATCTTGCCATGGGAAAATCCACCAGCATACTATATAATTCTCAGTCTTCTAAAGGTTCATATTTAATATTTAATATACATTATTCAAAACTGCATGCTCAATAATTCCCTGGAATAACTCCATAGGGAATTTAGTGCTACCTAACCTGATGTTGAAATGTACATTTTGGGTTTATTTAGGCATGCAGTTGCTTGATATTAATATGTAATTTTTCTAAAATATGTTATATTAATGTTTTGAATTTTCTCTCTAATAAACTGGGGAGGGGGTCAATTCATAATGACCTCATGATGAGTTACAGGTTACAGAATGACTGAATCTAGATGCAATCAAATTAATAAATAAAAACTGACAGTTTTATACATTATTTATGGAATTCTAGGCCTATGAATAAATTCTGATAGCCAAATGAATCAAATATTTTTATAATTAATTAAACTTTCCACTTTTACCCAGGTTCCTCAATATATTTCAGAACCAGGCTTTTTTTAGTAGACTGGGACACATCAGAAGAATTCATGAATTACAGGAGAATATTGTGTAAGTAGTACTAAGATATCTATAATTCTGCTGGGTCTCGTAGAATATCTTTAGCCATAAACAACTTTCACATACTGAAGAAAAATCTCAACTGTAAAATGGAATTCCAGTATTTGTTAAAGACAACTTACTCTGCCTAGTAACAAGGAAAGAGGTCAGTAGCAATTCTAAGCCCTCTCTGTCTATGGTTCATGAAGACAGCTGAGTGAATGAAAGAACAGGCTTAAAGAAAATTATTCTCCATTCTTGTTGATATTGGACTTAAGCATAAATCAGAGTGTACTACAAAGCCATTAAGATGCATTTTCCTCAAGAAGAAATTGCATCACTGTGGCTACCAGGCCAAGAGTAGAGCAAAGGAGAAAATCATGCTGCTTTAGCTAGAGAATTACAAAGGTAATTTAATCTCCAGGGAAATCTCACAGTCTGAATTCACAACATTCCTTAGCATATACAGTCATGTTTTGCTGTGACTATTTCAAGAAAATTGTTTGTGTTAATTGAAAATGTGAAAAACTATAGGCTAAATGATAAAATGAAGTATCTCCCCTGTATTTCCACCAATGTCTAAGTAACCTGTCTTCTTATATGTTAACAATCAGTAAGGATGCCAAGTGGAGCTAATAAAAGTTACTTATATTGTATTTTGATGTATGATAAAAATATAGTAGCATATTTTATTTAACATGTTTCAAAAGTATTCCCTATTTGAATGAGGAATCTTCTGGGACATATTGATAAAGTCCAAACATATTTTAAGCAGTAATTTATTTTTAAAGTAAATGATGTTACAAAAGACATCAGATAGTTAAATGATATTTCAATACTGTAAACTAATGTGGAATAACAATGTGTAAGATATATAATGGGAACCTCATATGTAATCCTAAATTTCAAAGAAACAACATTAATAATGTAAAAGAAAATGGCTGGAATTATTTTATAGTATATTTTTCTAACCAAATGTACCCCAAATATCACCATTTAAAATTAAGTATTCAATATAAAATTTTTTTTAATATTTTTTGGGGTGTGGATGGACACAACACAATGCCTTTATTTTTATGTGGTGCTGAGGATCGAACCCTGTGCTAGGCGAGTGCTCTCCCATTGAGCCACAATCCCAGCCCTCAATAAAAAAATATTAATGAGATACTTTACATTCTTTCTTTCATAATTTGTGTTACAAAAACTTTGTGTACAATAGCCACATGTCAGTAGTGGCTACTGTACACATACACATACTAGTGGCTACTGTATATATATATATATATATATATATATATATATATATCATAGGCCTAATTATTTTAGAAGCTATACAATAGAGTATCTTTCTTTTTGTCAATAACTCTATATGAATCTTTGATTGACCAGTCTTTTACTGTGATATTAAATAAAGAGCATCTAGAGCGTAATCAGAAGTAGTTTAATGTAGCATTTTTTTTGCCATGAACTACTAGATAAAAAATGTAAACATGAAAGTAAAATTAGTTGGTTTTTTTTTGAGGCTCAACACTTAATGATCCTCTGTCCTGCTTACTAATAACTGATTACAAAAAATATAAGCTACTAGGAAAGCCTGTTTTTTTTTTTTTTTTGTCTTATGCTTTTAATGTGGTGATTACACAAAGGTCTATTGGAATTCAAGGCCTCCTGAAGTTGGAGGTCCTGAATATGTTGCTAATTTTCTGTTTGTTATTTTCATTCCCCTTTCATATATGCTTTGGTTGATCATTGATATCAGGTCCAGTGTACTTGATGCTAAGGTATATTATTGTTGACCAGAAAATGAGTAGCACTTATATAAGAAACATTCTTAGAAACACCAGGCTAAAAACCAGGGAAATTATCATTGTTAAACTTGTGTATCAATAGGGGTAAACTTTGTTCTCAAGCAGGCTTACACAGGAGCTCCAACAGAGGTCTCATTAAATTGATCAGTTAATAAAGACACTATGTGACTGAAAATAAGAACTTGGGGCAGGGAAGCATAGTGGGTATAGTGGGTTGTGGGATTTTTAAAACTTTGTTTATTTATATTTTATGTGATGCTGAGGATTGAACCTAGTGCCTCACATATGCTAGGCAAACACTCTACCACTGAACTGTAACCTCAGCCAGTGTCTGGGGTTATTTTAGGAACTGAGAAATTTCCATTCCCAAGGCATCTCATTGTACTAGATAGATTCTTTCAAGAGTTCTTACTACTTTTATATCCTCTTGTGGTTCCTATTTTCATGGTGTTGTTCATCTAACTAGGATATATAGTATTGTACTTTGCCCAGAGGCCCTGAGTCTGTGTCTTCTATCATAATTCTTATTATAAATGTATTGGATCTTAATTTTAGGAAGGAGTTCACTTAAATTTTTCATGTTAGGGAAAGATAGCTAAATTTGGGCTCTATTAAAAATATAGTTATGTAGATTGGTTACTAATTAAAGAAACACACGAATGACTAATTAATGTTATTGATATTGTGTACACTGCCCAATCCTCGTCTCAGGTATAGTACTGAGCAAAAGAGAAATTTATTTTACTGAAAAAGAAAAATATATTGGTTTAGTGATTATGAGTTTTGTATGTAGTTAGAAGGTTTTGTTAGAATATGCTTGAATGCTTTGTATATTATTAGATAAATAAGTTAGTGTAATTAAACAACTAGAACTTAAGGAAAAAAAATCACATCTTGATCAGTAGAATATGTAGATACAGGCAGGATGAGGAAGAAGAAGCCCCATAGTTCTACATAGATGTGATTATGGAAGTAAAGTCAGTGGGAAACATACTTGGGGCCTAAAAAATAAAGAGGCTTTTTTTTTCTATCATGAATAAATTCTGAATGTGCCCCTCCCAGGTTGCCCTGGTTACTGCTTTTCCTCAAGCTCATGACATGATAATGGACAAAGCTGTAGGCCAGTGAGACAAGTAATGATGTGGCATGAAGCCATATATATTTCCTACAAGCTTCTCTGAAGAGAAAGGTCTAGAGTGAAGTTGAAGTGAAATTTGGGATTTTTCTCTCCTGCTATAATCTACTCTAACTTCTAGCCAAAACAACGGTAATCATGGAATTTAGTGCGGATATTGACACAAAAGAACGACTACTTCTCATTATTATGATCAGTTGGATTATCTTATTCCTGTTTTTGATAATCTTCTGCCTAAAAACATGTTTCTCTATCTTGTTTGGTTTTCGTAGAAGACGGAGACATTCTTACTTTCATTAAAGAGAATGTGTGCATGATTTGGAAAATGGTACACATAGAGAATATTGAATGGAATCTTTCAAGCACATAGGTCAGTATTTATTGATGTTACAAATGAGCTACAAAAGTATTGTACTTCTCAGAAGTTAAAGGGAAGCATAATGGGATATATAGAGTTACAATTATGAAAGAATTAAGGAAATAAATAAGGATATTGTTGTATAGCTCTAGTGAACTTATGGGGGGAGGAAAAAATTGAGTTCAGAGTTAGAGGAAGCTTCAGGTAATTAAAGGCTGGCATGTAAAATCACATACAGAATTTAAGATGTCTAGAACTGTATCTGGGACCTTTACAAGTAAAGGTCAAGAGAATGTGGGGGAATTTGTGAGGATTGTTAGTACTACAGGAACTCTCAAGATTAAATATCAATTCTGACAATAATTTTAAGTTGCTCCATCAGATGAACAAATGGAAAAAATTTTGACCTAAATGTTTTGAAGATATAAAAGGGTGGTAATAGGGGAGATTTTCATTGGGTCTCCTGAGAAAAACAAAGAGAGAAAGAAGATAAACAGTAAATATTACAAAGCAATTCTTATATTTGATTTGCAAATTTATCATGTTTTATAATTTGCATTAAAATTCTATCACCTTTTTATTAAAGAAGTGAATATATTTTATGATTATTTGTAATGCAAATCATGTTGTATTAAAACATTGTATACTAAAAGAGTAACTATTAGAAAACGTTGAATAACATTAGGCCCTGTACTAATCTGAGTTATATTTTTAATCTGAGAAAAAGTTTTTAAAATATTTGTATTTAATCTTTCCTTGCAGGCAAACAACTATGGAATTTAAATAAAAAGTTGTAATCATCAAATGATTCTTGGAACAATTTACTAATTGGGTCAAAAATGTATTTAGAGAATTCAGATTTTAAAAAAAAATCATCACCTTGGGAAGTGCCATTTCATCAAACAATTATAACTCTGTAAATGAAAATATAAAATTTCCATTAATAAAAATTTTAAGAAACAGTTTTGAAGAGGAGTTTTTGAAATATATTCCCCAAGTTGAATGCATGGACTCTATGTTCAGAGTAAAATGGTTACATATTTTCTCAGTTTGAGAGTGCACTGTGATCCCAAAATATATTACTAGAGACTATGGTTAAGATAATCAATTGTAGTATTATTATAACTTAACCTATCATTAAAGTCACTAATCTTTCTACTGAATTTATTTAATATTGTCCATGTTAGAAAGATCACACTAATATTTCTGAAATCATGACCTGTATTTACAGTTGCCTACTTGATATTGTTATTTTAACATGTGATAACAATGTGAAATGAATATGTACCTAACCATATTACTCTCCAAGTCAACAACTACAACAATCTTTTCTGTCTTAATTATTACAATTGTGACCTTTCAGTCCTCAGGACAACATGTATTACTGTCATTTCTAATTTTTTCTCAGACTATATATGTTGTCCATCAATGACTTTTATCAGTTCTACCCTGGAAATACATTTTAGATTTGACCACTAGTGATTGTTACATTTTATTTTTCTAATGTATTTGCATTCTAATTTTTTGTAGTATTAGGGTTCAAATCTAGGGAAAATCAAGTACTATCCAAGTACTCTAATGCTGAGCTATACCTTTTGGCCTTCAATTTTAATGCAACAGATCATATCATTGAATTTTTAGAATTTTTTAATTTGTTCTTTTTAGATATACATGACAGTATAGTGTATTTTGACATACTATACATACACAGAGTATAACTTATTCTCATAAGGATCCCGTCCTTGTGGATATACATGATGTGGAATTTCACTAGTCATGTATTCATATATGAACAGTTATCTAATTTGTTCTACTGTCATTCCTAATCCCATCACCCTGCCTTCCCTTCATCCCCCTTTGTCTAATCCAGTGAAATTCTATTCCCATCCCTTTTGTTGTGTGTTAGCATCCTTATATCAGTGAGAACATTCAAACTTTGTTTTTTGGGGATTGGCTTATTTCACTAGCATTATAGTCTCCAGATCCATCCATTTTCAAGTAAAAGTCTTTTAATGGCTGAGTAATATACCATAGTGGATATATAAAACATTTTCTTTATCTATTTATCTGTTGAAGGACACCTAGATTGTTTCCATAGCTTAGATATTGTGAATTGTACTGCTATAAACATTGATGTGGCTATGTCACTGTAGTACACTGATTTTAAGTCCTTTGGGTATAAACCAAGGAGTAGGATAACTGGGTCAAATGGTGGTTCCATTACAAGTTTTCTAAGGAATCTCCATACTTCTTATCAGAGTGGTTGCTCCAGTTTTAGTTCCAGAAGCAGTATATGAGCGAACCTTTTTCCCCACATCATCACCAACATTTATTGATACTTGTATACTTGATAATTGCCACTCTGACTGTAGTGAGATGGAATCTCAGTGTAGTTTTGATTTGCATTTCTCTAATTGCTAGAAATGCTGAACATTTTTTCCATATATTTGTTGACCATTTGTATTTCTTCTTTTGTGAAGTGCCTGTTCAGTTTCTTTGCCCATTTATTGATTAGGTTATTTTTTTCTTAGATGTTGAGTTTTTTTTTTTTTTTGAGTAGTTGATACAATCTGGAGATTAATGCCCTATCTGAGGTGCAGGTGGCAAATAGTTTCTCCCATTCTATAGGTTTTCTTTTTATGTTCTTGATTGATACCATCCCATTTTTTGATTCTTGATTTTACTTTTTCAGCTTTAGGAGTCTTGTTGAGGAATTTGTTTCCTTAAGATGATATGATGGAGAATTAGGCCTACATTTTCATCTAGTAGGCACAGGGTCTCTGATCTAATGCCTATATCTTTGATCTACTTTGAGTTGAGTTTTGTGTGGCTTGAGACATGGGGTTAAATTTCACTCTATTACTATAGATTTTTATTTTGCCCAGTGCCATGGTGCCTTTACAGATTGTTGAACTTGTTTGTTCACATGACCATATTCTTAAATTTCCAAATGTGTGTTTTTTAAAATATCTTAAAATGTTTTCTTCTTTCTCTTCCAAATAGAATCTTGAGTCTGGCACAAAATAACCAATGTAAAGTGTCATTCATTATTATTGCCTCAATATAGATACACAGGGCAGAAGAAACTGTGGGAATTGTATGTTTGGGATTGGGGTCTACAAACTTCATGATTGTGACATTCTTGGTGACTAGGAAGTTTCTGTGCAAAGACACAGAATGACTGGCTGCTAGATAACATCTTATGACTGGGAAACTCCTCTGCAAAAAGCACAGGATGCCTGGCTGTCATAGCATTGTCCTTCACAGGTTTGCCCTGCTTCCCAGACCTAGGATGCCTAGCCTCCTCCCTCTGAGCTATGGAGCCAACTATGCAGGCACTATCTGGTTTCCTTAGCAATGTCCTTGGATAAAATGGGCTCTGTGTTTGTATTAACCTGGACCTTATCTCAGTTAGGTAGCACTGAGGTTAAAGAAATACTAATTAGAATATTGTCATGGTAACTGGAGGTATGTGTTCTTTGAGTCAATAAACTCCCAGGCAGGCAGGAGCAGACACTTCACTTCTGCACTTCTTCTTCACCACTTTGTGTATCTGTGTCTGTTCTTGTGCACCTCCTCACAGGTATTCCACCACAAGAAACTTTAAAAACATCTTTGAAATGGTATAATGGAGTATTTGCAAAGACTTCCACAGTTCTTCCTATCCCTGTATGTTGGCTTCTTCCATGACTTTACCTGGTCTCCCACCCAGAGGTCCTTAAGGGGAGTCTGTACCTCCTGTCACCACCTGGAAACTGGATAGACCTTGTGACTTGCTTTGAACAGCAGATTATAGTGGAATGACAGATAGATTGTGAATTGTCTACTCAGGTCTTAAGAAGCCATACAATTTTTACTCCAGATCTTTGGGAATGTTTTTTTTTTCTTTTAATTGTTTTAGTTGTAGATGGACAGCATGCCTTTATTTTATTTGTTTATTTTTATGTGGTGCTGAGGATCCAACCCAGTGCCTCACACATGCTAGGCAAACACTGAGGCACAATCCCAGTTGTATTGATTATGATAGCTAACATATTTGGATTTTTAAAAATATTTTCTATTCCATTTTAACTTCTATTGCATTATACGATTTTCCTTGATTCATTTCCCTCCTTTTTCACCTCTTTTTGAATTGGTGTTATTTTTCTGTTGTTTCCACTTTTCTCCATTTACTGCTTTAGAAAATATACAACATAGTTCTAAAAATTGTTAAACTTGTAGTTTTTAACACAATCTAATTAACTTGAGGTATGATATTTATCATTTAATTTTACTATTCTTGTGAACAACAGAATATCAGGACTAATCCTTTAACTTTGTCCTTTAGTCATTTTGGAACAATGTGGTGAAAGAATAATAAAGATTGAGACATAATGAGTTTAAAGGAATTGATTACTGGGAAATGTATAGAAATTTGAGAAAACATTACTATGGGATATGGACTCTCCAAATTAACCATAAAAGAACATTTCCAGGATAATTCAAGCACTATAATAGTCCAAGGATGAAAGAGAGTGGAGTTTGTGATGACTGTCTCTCAGCACAGAGGCTCAAGTGGAACTTAAAAATCAAAGAGAGACCAGTTCTAGTAGTCTTGAAGGCCCCTGAAAAGTAGTTTGCCTGAATCTAGTGAGTCTCCAGAAAAGTAAACAAGACACTTGGTGACACCACATCTGGCTGTAAGAGTTTCCCCAGAGCCCACAGTATGCACACTTTGGCCTTTGGTATGCATATTTCTTTGCATTGTTTTTGTATTTGAAGAAACCTATATATGTTTCTTGTTGCTGACAGAAAATAGCATTTCTTATTCATATATTTTAGGTAGGCGATGAGATCATGGTTATTTCTGAGGACAAGCATTCTTTGCCACATTATATGTCTATGTAAGAACTAAAAAATATTTTAATTGGTTAGAATGATGAATTAAATTCACAAATAAATAATAATAAAGTACAAAATTTAATAAAAATATTAGGATTCTAAAAATCCAGGGAAACAAGAATCAGGTTGAAAGACAGTTATGATTAAGAAAGACATAATGAGTTTAAAGGAGTTGATCAACAAGAAATATATCTTTAGCAGAAGAACAAGAGGGAATGACTAGGCAATAGTGTGTGGCATGAATACTGAGGACATCATATGCTTAAGAGAAAGAATGACTCAAACGCCATGGTCCTCTATCATAGCAATGTGAAAATCTCATTATGTCTCAGTCTTTATTATTCTTTTACGACATTGTTCCAAAATGACTAAAGGACAAAGTTAAAGGATTAGTCCTGATATTGTATTGTTCACAAGGGTAGTAAAATTTAATGATAAATGTTAGTGACAGGGGAGCAACAAGTTTCTTTTAGTAGCAAGCAGAAGGAACTAATTTTTGTGTTTTAGCAAAAAAAAAAGTACACTTAAAGTTTGTTTTTGTGTCTTGCAGTTTTGAAGAAAGATTGTAATAGCTAAGACTCAGGTATGGCTGTGATCATGATTTCCTCTGGAAAATATCAGTCTATGTTTCAATGTTTTTAAGTACTATGAAGAGAGAATTTTATTTGGTTTATGGACCAGTCTTCCATATTATTGATTTAAAATTCATCTCATTATTAGTACTGCTTTTCTTTGTGTGTTGATAGTTTTTCAAGGGAAGGGAGACTTATTATGAATCAAGTGGTTATTCTCAGAAGAGTAAAGTACAGGTTGGAAATAAAAGAGTAAGGTTAAAGTGAAGTTCAAGAGAAATGGAAGAAGATGAGGGGTAATTTCAATGATAATTACTGAGTCTTCTTTTAAGTTTTAAAATGCCCTATTCTTACAATAAGTGATAAAAACATGAATTACACATTCAAAGTCCTGTGTTTTCTTGTTATTTGTTTTGCTAACAGGCTACAGGCTACATTTC